CTTTTTTCGGAGGTCTTTTCAATTGCACTTGATTAATTGGCAAATCCTTATCAACAGGACGACGTCCAACTTGCTTTCCTTTAAGGAGAGCTTTAGGATCACTAATGTCTTCCTTTGCGGTCATCGCTTGTTGAGATGGCTTGGCCTTAGGAGTCGGTTTGAGCTGAAACTTATGGTCTTGAAACACACATCTAATCTATGGGCAAATCAGAGGCATTTTTTCTCAAAAATCTGTCCACAGCAATTTCCAGAAATGGTTAAAAGTATAAGATGAGAACGACTTTCTTCAACAAACTGCACAGCAGCCAAAGAAATTCGGAGATGTTAGTTGGATTCATTGGAAACATGCGTGTTGGTTGAGTCTTTACCCTATTATCAGTTCCGATTTCTCCAGGCCTTGTTTGCTTCTTAACATCCTAAAATGGGAAACAAAGGGTATAAAAGGTGTTTTGGATAATGGAATGATGGCATGCTTTACATTTGAACAGAAATTGCACGTAGACAGTATGTGACATTTAGAAACATCGTTTGAACATAAAAACAGAAAACACGAACTTCTTTCTCCTGCGGTTTCAGTTTTGGAGCTCTCTCATATCTTTCCAACTTGGTTCTCTCCCTTTTCTCAATCTTGAAATCGCTAACATCGGCTCCTGACCCAGATCTACTGAGTGGTACAGCTTGCTCATTATCAGCTTCTTCTTTCCTTTTTACTTTTTTCAATTGCACCATAGATAGAGCAACCTCATCTTCTCCGCGTCGACCTCCTATTGACCTCACGCTACTCACGGAGTCTGATTTCTCCAGTGTCTCTTTTTTCTTCACTTTCTTCAACTGAACCATGGGAGCATTTGTTTCCTCCTCTACTCGTCGACTTATGCCAGATCGAACGCTGCTCGTAGAATCTGATTTCTCTACAGTCTCTTTCTTTTTGAGAACTTTTTTGAGCTGTACTTTAGGAAGAGCTGATTCATCTTCCTTCCGTCCACCTATCGATCGAACGCTGCTCACAGAATCTGATTTTTCCAACCCTCCTCGAAGACTGGTGTCTTCTGAACGAATAACTTTTTTCAACTGAGCAAATGGATTAGGTGGAGCCGGCTCGTCACGTCGTCCAATAGAACGAACGCTTGATGAAGAATCAGTTCGCTCTAGAGCCGATTTTGCAGTCGAATCATCTTTCTTAACTTTTTTCAATTGGAACATTAACTTTGGCTCAGCTTCCGGCTCTTTCGCTCCAACTTTGCGTAATTGAGGCTGCTAAACGGACATACATATCAGGACGAACACAAAGAACGAGACTATATCGACAAACCTTAGGCTTTTCATTATCGGACACACCAGACGATGATGATTTTTTCAATAAACTACGAGCATTCTGATACATTGCTTCCTCAGCAGTTGGTGGAGACTGAACGATTGACAGAACATAACAACAAACAAGGACATCACATCGACAGAAATATGCATAAAGTAGATAAATGACTCACCTCAGGACGTTTTCTTGTTTTGGGACCAGAAAAAGATGGTAATTCTGAGATACTTTCAGTTATCTCGTCTTCGCTTTCTTCTCCCAAAAGCTGCCGACGCCGTGCTTCGGGGATAGTTAAACCCGATGACGGGATGTCGTCGGCTTGTGATTCCTGGAATTAAAAGTAAAACGATTGAAGTTTACGAACAATGAGTGAAAAGTTTAACTTTAAAAGTTAAAATCAAGTCCAATAAAACATTCTCACAGATTCAACGTGTGGAAACGTTTAATTTGCTGACAGTGATGCTGAGGGTGCTTGCCTCTTGCCAGCTTCTCGAGAGACGAGAATAACACGTGAAATCTTTTTTGGAGAGATCTGTAGAGTTGTAGAGCAGAGGCTAACCGTAGGTTTCAAGCGATTAAGAAGGTCACAAGACTGGTTGCAATAGACCGAGGATTGACACAAAAGACGGAACTTAATGAATCAATATGTTCCTGTGTTCTTCTTCAGCTTATTGTTTGACAACTTTCGAAGAGTCTTCGTACCTTACACATCTCGTCGCTGATCTCCATTTTTCTCGTTCACTTTTAACAGTTATCATCATATAATCTTCATCTTTTTTTTTTCTTTCGTCTAAATCTTATCTCGTTAAGCTACAAAATTTTGGAAAGTTCTTCGAACTTCACACACACACACCCTCTCTTCCTATCTCTTCTTATCTCTCCTCTATCAACGTGATATCTTTTAATCTCTGTTTGTCCTGTATTTCACAAAACAATTAAGCATCAAACAACTATCCAACCAATAATCAGCAATCTTCCATGAACCATAAAAGGCAAGTTCAGAAAGTTGATGAAAATAGTGAAAACTATTTCTTCTTGACAATGGTGGGTTGAAGCTTGCTTCTCCGTTCTCAAAATGCTTCGGGTACTGTGAATACCACTCCAGTATGAAAACAGTGTTCCAGATCTAAGATTTCACATATTGTTCAACGGAACTTTAACAATCTGACATGCTCTTTGGCCTCCCACGCATGCCTCTCATCATCAGCACACTGGCTGCTAAGTTGTCTATACAATAAAGTCTCATTCACTTCATCTGTTCCATTCTATTTTTTTCAGATTTTCGAAGAAGAACAGAAGATAAAACTTTTCCTAGGAAGATACAAACACTATGAAGATGGTTTATGAAAGATCAGATCGAAGTTAAAAGATGTGTGAAGATTTTCATTTAATCAATGAATACCTAGACATCTACGAGAAAACTGTCGAGCTCAAGTTTATCTAATAAAACTAGTTTTGAGCAAAATAAAATGAACGAATGAGACACTTCAACAGTTAAGACTCAGAATGAATACTTGCTTTACCAAGGTTTTGTGATAGAGGAAGAGAAACGTGCAAATCTCAAAAAGTTGTGAATAAGCGATTGGAAATGAAGTTCTACACAAGGGGAAAAAATAGCCTGAGACGGCAAGAGAAGCACAGTCAGATGAAGGAGGTTGTCTTGAAAAAAAGCTTCACTATTTGCCCTTCTTTTCCATCTCATCTTCTCAATCTTTCACAACTATCCAAAGATTTTAAGAAGCAAGAGAATATTCGTTACTTTCTTAATGAATAGTCCCTGAATTTATCAGAACGTAGAAATCGTCTTCAGAGTCAAAAGTAAAAAAGTTATCTCAATAAGTCTACTTCAGCCAAATGTTTTTTTCTCAAAAAGACTTTCATAACTTCATATTTCAAGGCAGAAAAACAAAGAGACTATGCGAAAACATGAAAATCATAGACAAAAAAAACATTTTTTTTCTCCGGTAAATCATTCATATAATCAGAGAAATGAGGAAGATGAAATCTCATAAATCCTTTAATCCAAGGTAAATAAATGTTTTTCGTTGATGATTTAACATCGAAACATATGACTGAAGAATAAACAAAAGATATTGAAAGTCCTCCACTTTCTCATTGTTTCCTTTTAAAAAAAAAGTTCTACGATTCAAGTAATTTGAGTAATTTGGATGTTTATGGATGTTAGTCAACCTTACAATCTTCGTGCGCTTGGCGCAGATGGTTAAGCTTCGGATGAACAAGCCAAACAGTCAAGTTCGAGTTCCGACATTGACCGTTTACAAATAATGAGACGAAACATCCGATGAAATCGGCAAAGTTAAAGTTAAAGTGGATAACTAGAGAAAAGGAACACCTCTACTATAACATGGCTTGATACAAGCTAATGATGGAAAGTTCAAAAAATTCGAGTTCGAGTTGATAGTGTGATTCGAGTCCTAGTATTAAAACATGCTTACACTTGAATTAGAAATGCTGCCATTAGTCGATTCAATGCTGTTAAGCGATTTGTTCGATCTCTCCGATCGAACCAATCTCGACGAATATGGAGTGTCATAATCGATCAAACTCCGCAGAAACTTTTCTTTAGCGTTGCCTTCCGGTAATCTACTAAGAATAAATTTGTGAATCTGTGATAAGCCTTCTATCCCGGGTGGAGCACAGTCGGAACTACCGGCTCGTTTAGGAGTAGAAAGGGTGGTGGGTACATCTGTTTTCTCACTAATATCATTGGCAACGTCAGTTGTTTGACGACGCCATAAACTGCCACCAAACTTTTGAGAGCTCGAAGGATCTTGCTGTGATTGGGATCTCTCATATATTCGAGAAGAGCCAAGAGGCGCTTGATGTCGTTCGTAATGTTTCGAAGACAACAACGTCTGATAAAATGGTGTTGGCATCGTTCGTCATGTGATAGTGCAATTCTGATATCCACAGAATTTGCCAGGAAACGCTATAAATTTGTGTGGCAATGTAATGAAGAGAAAGAGAAAATAATGAAACAATGAATAATAGATTAAAATAGCAAAAAACAGTCAGTGAAAAGTGGAAACTATCGCAGGAATAAATGAAAACGAGGGCATAATTTGGCAAAAATAAGTTTTTGTTGGATAAAATGGCGAAAACATCGAAAAGAAAAATAGAATATGTGGATATTTCCATTTTTTTCCACAAATTCTTCAGAAGTTTTTGTTGTTCTGTTGACATGTCTTTCCATGTCTTCGAGACTTCTATCCACTTTAACACTTCCAGATAGAAAAGACAAAAAAAAAAGACAAAAAAAAAAACAAGAACAAGGCAAAGAAACATGCACCTTGAAAAAATGAGAAACGGACAATGAGATCAACTGTAAAACCGTCACTCAACTTCACGGTTGAGGAGATTTGTCTACAGAAGACGTGCGTTTTATGAGAAGCAGGACACTTGTTATCACACTTCGAGCTCTTGTAATCATCGGCATTTCCCTTGTTTCTCTTCTACTGTTAGCTTTAACTTTCGTAATGAAGCGCTAATAAGATGTCATCAACTACGTCATCATGTCCTTTTCATACAGATGTCATACTATTTAAACTCAAACAGTAAGAAACTACCCTCACTAGTTGATTGAACTTGCTTCAGAACATATCGACATGTTCCAAAGTACGTTATGAAGTGATAAGAACACAAAAAAGTTCCAATTTTTCAAGAAGAATTATCGAGTCCAGAAAAAGAAATTGGAAAAACGTACGTCATCTGGATCATTACGAACACTTCCTTTTCTGGAACTTGGTGCACTTTCTTGCTCTGAAGCCTGAAACCAAATTTCATCAGACTTGTAACTTGTTTTGAAAGCTGTTTTCATCTTCTTATATTAATTATCAAAAATCATGTTTAAAAGAATTTCTCGGTTTTTTGGTCTGAACATCAAACTGTCTCAAGTGGCAAACAACTAGTCCAATATTCAATGACTTCCGTCCAAAGCACAAAAGCTAGATTCTTTTGTGAGAATCACCGAATATAATTCATTCAGTTTGAGTTACGTTCTACGAATCTATGTATATCTTATGTAAACTTACTTCAGGACGCAAACTTCCAGCTCTGCTTACTTTGGGACTAGGGGCCTAAACATCAAAAATTTATCTAGCAATTGACTTTAAGAATAGCATACAGGGCTCTTGCTCGTGCTTCTCTTTCTTTTAGGTGTTCCACTTCCACTTTCTTCATCTTCACTTCTGTTAACATTGAGTGTGTTCTTCTTTGACTTTTCTTTCTCCTTTTCTTGTGCAGAAGAAGAGGATTTCTTTTCATCCTTAGTTGGTTCAACTAATGATGGATTTTTTGAATGATGGTTGAAAAGATCAGAGTCTGGAATGTACGAAATAATGATACTTCTTGTGACCTATACTCACCATCTTGATCAATTTTAACCATTGCTGAACTTTGTCCTTCTCCATACTCGCATATAGCATGACATTTATATAATCCAGTTAACTCTTCAGTCAAATTCCGAATTGAAAGTCGAGCATTAGTTCCATCAAATGAAGCTGACAGCTCATTTGAAGCTTTTAGAGGAGCTCCATCTCTTTAAAATAGTTGATATTTTATATCTAGTGTTTAAAATCACGTACTTAAACCATTCAATAATGGTTGACGAATGACACTGCCATTCCACCTGCAGCACAATTGTGGATCCAGGTTTACCCATCTGAAAATTGAATTTGACATTGAGCAATATTGAAAAGTTATTTTCATCATTTCAGACATACAGAGCGGTTGTATCTCCCCCTCTCCTTTATGCTCCTCATACCAAAATGTCTACATGATTCTCCGCATCATAATTCATTTCGGTATAAGAAACTGGGCAGGAATTATTTATTGCTACTCCCACAACAGCTGTTTAAATGAAAAAAACTGCTGACAATAGTTAAGAACAGCTTTCTTTGGAACTCCTCATTTATTACTCTCATCTTGAACTAATTTTAATATTCCTTATAATCAAAAGCAGAAAAGAATAATAATGCAATCTCTGCTCATCCAGATGTTTTTTAAGACAGCGAACATACTTCGTTCTCTTCAACTGCCAAGAGAGAGAAGTATTCTAAACGATCTTCACACAGCGAAGCTTTCTCTCCATCTGAGAAACATAATATAACACTTTCTCTCATAAAACAGGAAGATGGAAGGCAAAACACATATCAACTCTGTTTCGGAAGTCTTTTGCTCAATTACAAAAAACTTACTTGAGATTTAACGGATTCCATAACAATTGGTGGCCTAGTATACTTATCTCTAGGATTTGGTCCAGAGCTAGGTGGAGCTGGAGAGCGTAACCTTTCTCCATGGCTTGGAGCAGGACTAGCTGTACGCAGTTTCTTCTCATCACCAGCAGCCGGTGGTGGTGGAAGCCCATCAGGCTTTCGCTTTGACGCTACTATAAGTTGATAGAGGAAGTTGCGTATTGTTTAATGGAAACTACCGGAATCTGTGTCCATTTTATCAGTTCGACTGCTTCTCCTTGATGATTCACCCGAAGCAGCATCTTCGGGAGCAAGTGAGTTTTTACCAGCTTCAACTTCCAGTGTAGGTGTCGATGTTCGGGACCTCATCGAACGCTTGCTGGGAGAGCCTTCTCTGGCTTTCAAATTGCGCTTGGGAGTGCCCTCACGCGATTTCATATGCTTTTTAGGGCTTCCCGGTCTGGATCCTGGACCCCGAGATGGCGGTCTTGGGCTGGCAGCATCTTTACGATTTACAGAAGGTGATCGTCTCGACTTAAAAGTGATTTATAGTTAATCTTCAAATCAATTCTTACCATTCGCTCTTGTCGTTCAGAAGGATCGGGTTCCTCGAAGTTAAGAGCCAAGTTTGCATTTGTTTCACCTTGATCGTTGCGGAGTGTACAACGATAGTTACCTGCATCAGCTGTGGTTGGACCCTTAAAAAATATATAATGGATAGTGAAAAGTAACTCCGGACATACACGAATTTCCAATTGGCAAAGATAGGTTTGATCTCCGAGATCAGTGAAAATGGCGTGATATAAACCTCCCATTGATAATGGTGACCCATCTTTCATCCATCTTAACAAAAACCTAGTCTTTGAATCAAAATAAAACTCACTTGGCGGTCGGTGTAGTTGAGCTTTTAACTTTACATTCCATAACAATTAAAGCACCACCGTCTTTGGGAATAATCCTTGGTTTACTAACGAATGTAGGTCCTCGGCTTCTTCCTTCATCACCACCTCCACCTGATGTAGTGAGTAGAACATATACAAAAAAATTAAAAAACAAACCAGCAAAATTAAGATTAATATTTGCATTTGATTCTCCAAATTGGTTTTTTGCTGTGCATTTGTAAGCTCCTCCATCACCGGCATTCGGTTCCTGAAGAGTTTTCATAACTCTGCCATAACCTTTTCACTCAATTTTGCTCTCTTTTTTGCGTTCTGTTGAGAGAAGGGTGTCCTATTAAATTATACAACCCAGGTTAATACACAGAAGGCAATAAATAGTTGTAAACTGTGCTGATTGAGAGATAATTTAACAAAAAACGAACAATACTTCGAAATCTTCTCTGTGAGGACTACAGGATATTAGAGATTCTTTCGAAATTTTTTTGCTCTGGAGAAGATACACAATCCTAATCATCACATAAGCTGTCTTTCTTCTTTTTTTGTGACAACATGCGTGGTTTCTTTTAGAATATTACGTCGTAGGGAGAGGAAAAACTTTTTCAGGTCTTGATTTTGACTTTTATAGAATTCATCTAAGATCCTCTATCCATGATCAAAAGAAAAAGCGAATAAAACTAGAGGAAGATAGAGACTATCAACTTTAAATACCTAAAATAAGCTTGAATCTCTCATAACGTCTTTTATCTCTTGGTCTCTGATACCACTGCTGAACAACCAAAGAGAGCAGAAAAGCAGTTTCTCTCTCAAGCTTTTCTCTTTTTCTCTCTCAATTCTCCCTCCTCTATTTCGTGTTCTTCTCATTTTCATCTGAGTTGTGCCTTTGAGCCATTCGCTTGGTATGCGCTCTCCGGCAGGTTGTGTAACACTCGAGAGGAGAAATGGAAAACGAAGAACAAAGAGGGAACTTTTATGAATAAAATTAAGAAATTACTGAAAATCCAAACCTTTATGATAAGTGAGGCCTTATAAAGATTTTCTCCTATAGATGAAAGAGATTGTATAACTCGTGCAGAAGACGGAATGACAACTGAGGCATGCTGCCAAGAAATTGTCGGTTGAGGATCCGCTTCAAGCTGACATTCCATCAACAGGTCGCCCTGAAAAAAAAGAAATTGTACTGTTCAAGATTGGAGTTCCCATAAAAAACTTTTTCATTTTCCGTTCTGTTTCAGGAGTAAAGTATCATTAGGTAAAACGTAAACATTTCGGTTCGGGATGAAATATATTTCGTAAACAGAGTGTAGTCTTTTTCAGGAAGAAAGTGCAGGTTTTTGCGTTCGTCAATAATATTAGGATTGTCAACGATCTTTCTTTTCTTCTTTTTTTTTCACAATATCTTCGTCGTCTTCTCTTCAGTCATGTCATCATTCAGAAGTGTGTGAAGAGCGTCGCGTGGCGAAAATGACGGGAAGAAATCTTCATATAATTGTAAATAATGTCTGAGCTTCATCTGATTCTCCTCAATTTATTCCGCATGAGAAAAAAAAGAAAAGTTCTCAAAAAAATTTAAACATCTTTGCCTTTTTTTTCTGCAACATCGAAGATGTTGGAGCTCTGACATATGGGAATAGAGAAAACGGTTTGTTCTTTTTCAGGTTTTAGCTTTAAAATTAAAAAAAATACTTTTTAACATTACTTGTCTGCAAAAGTCTCTCAAGAGAACAGTTGGTGCCATGTTTCATGTCACCTCCATCTTAAAATGTTTTAATGTTGCAAGTTTCCGTAAAGCTTCGAGTCTATCTTTTGAAAAAGAAAACAATTAAAAAAGACCTGGAGTGAGAAAAGTCATTCGCAGGGAAATGAGGGTGAACATCTATAAGTTCAGCCTATATTGCCATTTAGGGTATCAATGATTATTTATGGTAAAATCGGATGAGTTAGCCCTCAATTAACCCATGGAATGATATGAATCAGTTTGTCAACAAGTAAATAAACGGTATTGAAGAAGCATTTTGATTATTACACACTGAAAAGTTGCGCAACAGCTGGTTCGTGCCGGACACGCCAAGTCAGCCACCTACGCACCTACTTTCTTTCAGGTTCAAACACAGAAATCGTTCGAAAATATAAACTTTGAATAAAAAGAAACAAACAAAAGGCAAGTTGGATTGAGATGCACGATTGTTTTTCATTATTTTGTGAGTGGTAAGATAATTTGTTGAGCTAATGAGTTTATTTGTTCAAAAGTGAGATCAACTTTGGGAAGGCTGTGAACTGGATTGGAGTGAATGAACAGCACAAATAAATAAAAATAAATATTAAAAAAATGTCGAACATGGATAACAGAATTGAGGAATATCGTAGGCATGAGGATAGGATGGAATGAAGTAAGGCACCCAATGCAATAAGCGTAAGAAATTTGAATGAAACTTTTTTCCTGTTTATTCATTTCAATATAGTTTAAAATATTCAAACAATAATATTAAGTTCATGAGAATCATACCGTAGACGTCTGCTGTATGGACGGTTTCTGCGTGAAGCGGGGTGCACCCGGCATTTCAGATGGAGTCGGGTCGGGAACGACCCCAGCTATAAGCAGATAGCGAACTGAACTGATCCCCTTCTAACTCTCTGTCTATCCTTCTTGCCCTCATTGCTTGCCTCCAAATGTTATGTAATCTCTAAAAATCTTTCTATCTTAATATCTCCCGTTTTTCCTTCCTATCTCAATCACTAAAAATACACAGCTAAGAGGAGGGACAGATGCAAGCAGGCAAGCTGGCTGCCAGCACCGCAGCAAAAAGCTCCTTCGCCTCCTCTTTCTTCGCCTCATCCTGTCTCTCCGATCATTCCGTTATTTCGATTGATCTCCTAGTTTCAATAGCTATTTCAAAATTTCCTATTCTTTAACTTTCTCTTTTTCACTCTCTGAAAACGAAGAAAATGAGACAGACAGCAAGGATGGGAGAGAACTATGAAAACTCGGTGAACAAAATAGAATCTCGGACCTCGGCTAGCAGCTGTAGCCCATGGCATTTAGCAGAATGAGAAAAGTTAAAGAGGGCACCAATGATGTGTAGGAGGTGATGTAGGAAAACACAAACCCGATCAGCGAACTCTAAAGCCAAATTTCTTTTAACGAAAAACAATGAAAAAAAAAACGTTCCATTCTTCATATTTGCTGATCAGTACACAGAAAACATTTGTATAAACGTGATTCACGTGAGATTTCTACGTGAAATCTCTTTTTTTTTCATTTCAATCAAAAGATGAGTGATAAACGGTTGTTATTGAAACTGTATAGTAATTGATAATATCATAAAATCATGTTTTGCAGAAAGTGAAGCCAAGGGTGGAGATAAACAAGTATAAATATGATAATTGATATGACCATACTTTCCATTAAACTATGGTTCGTTCAGTTCTGTTACGTTTCTTGGATAAAGCCTTCAGGTATTTTCTTAGTGTATGCTTGTCATTTAGTTAACTTGAGCTTCAGAAAGAAATCTCGAAATGACAAAGAAGATGTATATGACGTCATCCAAGTTGTTGCTACCATGGAAGATAATGTAGGTTTTTTCAATACCAAAAAATTATAAATTACATCCCAATCAATCAATCCAATTTTGAGAAAATTTTCTTTTTTCGTTTATTTCAAATCTCTCACTGACCTCCAAACAAAGATCAAATTATATGTGACGTCATCAACGTTCAAATTCCTTTTATAAAATATATTTTTTGGATAAAAAAAAGCAAAAACAGCTCTGATGCTAACTGGGCATCAATATATATGTTAATTAACTATATTGTTCATAATATATAACCTCAAGGACATCATTATCTATTTATATGATTAGAAATGATCATATATGGTAATATCATCTAACGTGTTTCATCCTATTTATGAACGTTTCATTCCAAACACTATGTCTATACAATTGATAAGAAAATGAAACGATGATGATTATATCTGTCGTTGTAAATCATAAATTACAAACATCAAAAACATTCTTCGTCAAACATTCTGTTTTAACAAGTCTGAGCATACACATGATAGCTTCTATACTTTCCTTGCACTAATATTTAAATGTCATTTCACTTTCTCTTTCTGCTACTTTATCGAAACGATTTCTTGAATATTCTCTGCATGGTTTTTTTCCCAATGCGTCATGTGAACAGTACTGCAAAGGATAACTTCCGTCATCGTTTATTTGTTCTTTCAAATTCAAAAAACGTTCATGTAAGGGGAAGGGGAGGGGGGCGGAGGTGGAGGTAGTCGTATGGAATTATGAATATAACAAAGCTTCTTCAAACTGTTTATATGCAAAAGCTAAGTGGAGGTTCTATCATTAATCAGAGTTTAAAAAACGCGTAATCAGACGATTCTTCGTATATTTGGGGTACAAGGACGTGCCCTTGAAACTTGTTGGAACCTAATAGACCATTCAAGTACGGATTTCATGAAAACATATTCGTATTCATTGTTTAACAAGGCAACAGCTTGGATCGAAAACTTTGTCTGATCTATTAAAGAGAATATTCATTCGAATAAAAATCTTTTTTTATTCAAAATGGTACTTCTCTGGCCAAGACAAATGTTTCTTAAATTAAATAACAGAGTGATCATCCATTTGGTCTCTCGTTCAGTTAAAATTTATTTTTCCTCTTTTATTCGAAATAGGTCAATGTGTTGGCCCTATTGAATTCCGGATATGGATTGCCCTCTCTTTTTCCTTTTTATTCAAAATCCTTTATTTTCATGAAACGTCGCCTTAGGTAATTGCGGTTAGATCCGTAATGAGATAGTAACCTTCCACTCTTCATTTTCCTTTTCTATCTTTACCTTTCTTCTCTCAAATTTTTTCTCTTACTATTGGCTCGTTTATTTTTGCTGTAGAGGTTTTAAAAGATTTTGGCGTTTGCAGTTCCATTGTTACTTTCGAATGCAACAAAAATCAGTTTTTCGTTCAACTCAGATAATTTTCAATTGTTAGTACTTTGAAGCTATCACAGAAAATTATTAAACATGTATAGTTGAATGTTATTATACACGTCTTCTCCCTCTATCAAGCATCCGGCAGACCGTCATTCTTCAACCGTCCTTGTCCTGTATACGCAACACAATTATTGAACGAATTGTTAATAGTCTCAAAGAAAAAATATATAGAGTTTACTAAGAGAGAAAGAGAAAGAGAGATTGAGAGAGAAAGGCGATTGAAAACCTAGTATAACCCTAAACCCCCACGACCATAGGTACGAGGATAATTGTTTTCACGTCAGTTCCAATACAGGTTTCTGTTGAGCCGATCAGGGAAGTGTCGTCTTCTTCAGATATTGGAATCTTTGACAGTTTTCTCTGAACTTTTTTCTTTTCTCAATTCGTTTGTTCCTGAAGCTATGAGAGTTGGATTTAGCCTAAGCTGTGATAAAGCTATCAAGCAAAGGAATTTTGATGAAAAAAGTTGATTTTCCATCCCAAATCGGAGAAAGCTTGATTTTATCTTTCATTTAGTCGCTTTTTCGATGAATTTGAGCAATTCCCCGTGATTCAGTGGTCACAAAAACAAATTTATTGCAAAGTTAAGCGAAAGGACAGTTTCCCACCAATGGACATATTGAGAGAAAAGCTAAATGAAAGCCATCTCTCTTATCATAGACGATAAATAGAAAGTAAGAAGACACAAACTATGTCTCAATGAATCCTCTTCCTCTCTCTATCTTTATCCCTTTCCCATTAGTTTTATCTTTTCTCTCCTTAACGTTGTCTATCATCCCCCAATGCACTTCATCAGTCCTCCTCAGACCGCCCCTCCCCATGTTCAGCACTTCCAACTTATTCCGCCTACTTAATGGTTGCTGACCATTCAGTCTTCCTGTTTTCTTCAAATCTTTTCCGAAATTTTCGAAGCCCGTTTTGTTTTAAAGAAGGAAATTTATCAACTTGCATTCAGAAAACCTGAAACTGACCTTCATTTTTTATTTCTCAATATAATTGTAGTTTTCTTACTATAATGGATGAAGAAAAAATAAACTCTTCCTAAGCGTTCATTTCATTCAAATGCCCATGAAATCGCCCCCAAAAAGGATTAATGGATCATCTTCATCCCTCATCCAATGAATTTTCGTTCAAATATATCTCTTGTTGTTGTGTTTGAAAACAGGTGAAACCTCTAGCTAATCCATACCGTTTACAATAACTATTTTGAACAGTTTTCCAGTTTTTATTTACTCATTTAAACATTAAACAAACTACATTAGGTTAATTTCACTTAAAGGAAGAAGAAAACATGAATGACGAACGAAAATATTCTGATTGTCAGAACGGTGGAGAAGACAACAAAACGGCATTGCCAATTGCGGGGTCAACACATAGCGAACGACGTGTCTTCTCCCCCAAGATATGTCTCGTATCGAAATGTGCTTATGTTTGGTTGATTGGTTAGTTGTGGTTAACAAGAGAGAGAATTCAAAATAGAGAGGTAAAGAGAAAACGAGAGAGTGGAACGAGTTATGATCATCGCCCTGTTTTGTTCCTATTCCGCCCTCCCCACCTCTTCTCTTTTTCTACCACCTGGGACTTTTTAGCTACTTGTATTGCTTAACCCTTCTTGTTCCCAACTTCTGTCACTCGTGCATTTCATCTCGAGTTCCACGGTCCAAATCTTTATTCTTGTGGCCTCAGCTCTCATTTAAAACTCTTAATGTCTCTGCATCATCTTTTCCGTCCATCAACTCCAAAATTTGAGGTAAACTTAGAGAAAACTTCGTGTCTGCTTTACTCTCTGCTTAGATTTGTAGTTTGCCTGTTTTGATTAATTGTATTAGAATTTTAAATTGTTGCTCTTCAGATGGATATTCTCAAGGTTACCCGATATGCACCGCTTCATGCTCATCAACTAGAAGGAGCTGAGACTGCCACAGTACTCGGGAAAGATGGTTTGAAAGATAAACTAATAAAGCTAATTTTTTTTTTCGCAGGGGAAGTTGTAGCTAAGCAAACTCTCATCAAATACTCTGCTAACCAAGCTTACTGCTCTTTAACTGAGATTTCTCCAGTCATCGCCGGAAAATATGTCAAAGTCAGTGAGGTTGATGATGATCGTACTAAACTGAAGCTTGTAACCATTGAGGTAAACTTTTTATTCTCTTCCCTTGAAATTTAATGGCTAACGTTGTTGTAGAAGGAACGTGAGAATCGTCGCCTGCTGCCAATCGTTGTTCAATTCCATACTGTACCAGAAGCTCGTCCCATTGAAGCTCATATGACCGATCGCTTAGCTGAAGAGACACTTGGTCGTAATAATCTTGAACTGAAGAAGAATGTTACATTCGATTCTTTCACTGTAAGAAAACATCGGTAGTTCGAATCAGTTTTACATGTCTTGTTCAGTATTCCGATACTTGGAGAGATGAAGCTGGGTTCATAGTCACTGACCGTAACCGATATGAATACGTTACTTTTGATGTTAGCAAACTCCTCCAAAGTCTGTCCGTCAGCTCAGGTTACTCATGGAAATTGAATTCAGTCTTACTTTGATTTACTTATTCAGATGTCAAAATTTCTGAATACCTTGCCGACGATTTAGATGGAACTTGTGACTTCGACAATACTGTGACTGGCTTCAATCGCGAAAAGGTCATTGAAGTAAGTTGTCTTAACACTTCATATGTCTATCCTCTGCTCTATAGTTCTTATCACAAAACTGTACCGTTTTGATCGCCAAGAATGGGAATGCAGTCGAAGGATTTTTAGCTGGAAAGCTTGATAAGCTCTGCTGCTTGTATGCTGAATCCGAGGAAATAGCACACACTTTGTTAAAGGAGTACATTAATAAGAAGAAGTTGATTCAGGTAATTTCAAAGTTCTTTCGGTTTTATAGAGATTCTTCAGATCAATTTCTTTACAAAAGCTGACACTTGGCAATGCGAGCCTTCATCTAAGACACCTGTCTACCGTAGCCATACTCGAGCTGTACCAGGAAGCATCAAATGGTCCAAAGTAATTTATTTATTGTCGTGCTCCATATGAATTTTTTTTTCCAGATTTACGCTTTGAATATGGGAATGCATATTGTTTAAATCATTCACTATCCGGCTGCTTCAACGTCATTGCATAAGAAAATATAAAAAAAACTGAATTAGTCGTATAATCACGCTAGCCCCTCATCCCACCTCAGATCATAATAAAAGATAGAAGCATTTTCTTTCTTTCTATTCTCTTTTTTTCTCTCTCTCTCCATCTCTATATTTCTGTTTCTCTCTCTTCTCTCATTCTCTTTTATTTTTTATTCATTTTTCCATGCCAGTCTGTTTATGTTTCTTCTTGGTTTGCCAATCTTCTCTTAGTTTCTTTTTGGCGATGAAATATTGTATAATAAATCGTCCAATAGAAGATGGGTTTTCATTTCTAAACAAGCGTACGCGTGAAACGGTTGTGTTTCTACAATACAACAGAGACGTATGAAGAAGAAAGTTTATTGACTGTTGTTATTTACAGTATTGAAGGTGATTTATTCGTAATTTTCGCACGTCGTAGTAGTTAAGAAGTTCAATATGCTCGCGAATTGTTCATTCGTGGTAGGTTTCCTCGAGAGTGATAAGCTAAGAGCATTATCTCATCAGCCGAACGTTCTGCAGGAACTGGAGATGATTGTTCTGATCTGAACCGAATAAATGATTACAGAACTTCTGTACAGGTAGTGTTACCCGCTGTAGTCTCCAGTGGATCCAGTTGAACGAGGACTGATGTCGTATTTTCTTCTGGAGTGATAATCTCCATAACCATGGGTGCGATATGGCATATCCAGTTTATTCTCTGTCTTTGTTCTGATGCTCAGCTCATCCTTGTAAGAACGATCTTAAATTTCATGATTAGTTCGAGTAGTCTGTACAAGAGAGGAAAAACTAAGGAGGATACCAGACAGCATGAAGCGAAGAAAACGGAAACGTTATTTGAGCACGAAAAAAAGAAACTCTGTTTGGTAAGCAACAAAAAAATTGTACGAAAGGAGAAGAATCATTTGTTCAAAAGCTCGGAGGAATGGTTTTCGAGTAAATGATTGTTTTTTTGTTTGCTACAAAAGGAAGGTAAGCTTAAATGTTCAAAAGATTTGAAAAATAACTCGGGTGATTTTTTTGATTTCTCTCTAACTTCCATTATACTCACTACCGTCTCTCATATTTGTTCAAAAAACTATTTCTTGTATTTGCAACTGCGAAGTTTGCTCTGAGGTTCATTCGTAGAACAATGATGCCAATTTGCTCAAAGTATCATATTAAGTAAGGAAGCACATGATTTTACTTAGTTTTTTCTCTGTTTACCTAGTCACTCTCTCTCTAGAAAAAAACTCAAAATGCTTTGATAGACAGTAAAAAAGAAAGCGTGTGAATAACTAGTTGTGTTTGTGCGATAAACTCTTCAGAACCAAAAAGAAGCAGCGTGTGAGGAACATTTGGTGAGTGGCTTTGTTATTTTTCTTTTCTAATTCATTTTGCCTATAAGGCCTTGCCTCCGAGATCAAAAGGTGGCTCGTAGAGGGTGTCGTATCCGTTTTGCGACACACTTCGGGGAGACAGAGGCTGGGTACGATGTGGTGGACGATCACCTGGCGTTGGGGATGGAGAAGCTGAAGAATAGCCATAGTCTGCAGCTGTGCCCCATCGGGTACCATAACGTGTAATGGATTCTGAATTAAAAGAAGATTATTGTACAAAAGCTTTATGTTCAACTATTCCAGATAATATTCAGTTTCTACTATACGAATAAGGGTAACTTTTTCTTCAACTAATTCCCACAATCTATTTTGCCAATCAATTATTGGCTTGTTCTCTAGCTCATTCGCAATGACACCACTACTCAAAAGAGGAAGGTCTACTTGTTTCTCATTAGTATAACTCTCACAAATACTAGAAGGATTATAAACCAAACTATCATCTGAACTATCGCTATCGTAGAAAGAAGTACCTTTGCGGTTTCGTTCAAACTTGGCGTATTTATCAAAGACGGGAATGGGTGATTCGCCTCCACGAGCAGGGCTGACTGGAGAAACACTGCGAGAACGGTCGGGGATAGACAGTTTTCTTTTTTGGTGAGCAGGTCCTTCAAATGAACGTTTGCGTTATGAAAACTCAGGATAAATTAATACCATATCCAGCCGAGCGATGTGGCATGATTTCTCGAGGACTTTGAGGTACCTCTTCATCAATAATGACTGGTGGAGGAGCAACAAATTTGGGTGGTGCAGTCTTCTTTTCAACTTTTACAGGTTCAGATGAAGGAGTCCATCCTACCATTCCAATCGCGTTCAATGGTTGGTCAATGATTTCCTTAAATGAGCTCAAATATTTAAAAAAAAGTTAAAGGTCAGCTCACTCTAAATGGAACGCGGGCTGAGTTCAATGTTTGTAAATGATTGAAAGCGCTGTTGATAAATGGAATGCTCTTACCACTCAAAACCCATCTGCCTGAAAAAAATTTAATAAATGAATAAATGATCACTTTTATGCCTTCCAAGTCGAGATATTTGAGACGGTCAGGTCCACGGCCCTTGATGATGGTATCCATTTTGAAATACTTTATGTCGTCGGAACGAAGTCCGTAGTCAGGAAAAGCCATTGTGGTCATTGGAGCCATTTGAACGATCTGCAAGTTCAGACGTTCAAAGTAAGAAAGGGAGAACATGAAGAAAAGAAAGGAAGTATTGAGCGGACATGTTCAACTGTTTGATGACAAGGTAACCACAACGAAAGCTTTTATAGTTTTAGAAGTTCGGTGGAGAAACTCCGCCTTCCTTAGTTTCTGAGCAAACTGTAGAAAATTTATGTGAACTTTGACTGTCAGAGGCACACAAACGGAGGTGGAAAAGATGCTTAACCATCGGCTTAAAATTTAAACGGAAGACAAAATATGCAATTTTTAATGAAATATTTGCTCAAATTTATTTTACATTTTGACAGGTCTAATTTCTTGATCAGTAATTCCTTTTACTTTTTTTTTCCGTCACTTCTAGTAACACTGGGAGATTATTTGCTTTTCTTACAGTTTTTTACACGTTGATAATGCCTTCGTAATCTCTCTTCACTCTCTCTCATTCAAAACAATCTAGTTATAAAAATATTTTTTATTCATCTCAACCAACTGAATTGAGAGATTTGTAATTTCTGTTTTACATTCCTTAAGTAAACTTTAATTGTATGAATGATTAAAACTCCACACAATTTTTCCATGATTCATGTCAGAAACGTTTTGAAATCTTACTGACTTAGCAAGACCAGTTTTCGCCTTCGGTATGAGCTTTACCACATAAGCCCAAATTCAAAAAATTAGTTCAAACATGATCGATGATATTCTAACTGTTTCAAAACATATTTCATGTTATCCATTCATTTGTCTTCACAGAGATTTACAATGAGTGCAGCTCAGCCAAATGATATCTCGAAATCACTTAAATGTGCATAGACGCATGAATCGGTTGCATTCAAACAGGATGAGAGCCAAGAAATATGTAAAGAAGCTTAATCGGTGTTTTTTTTGCTAATTCAAAAAAATTTATGATAAATAAAGATTTCTGATCAATGGAATCGTATGATTTACTCCATTTAACTTCATTTATTTACCTTTCTTGCTGAATTTTGTTTGAATTTCTAATAAGTTAAACGAACAGTAAACACAGTTAAAGCAAAAAATAAAATTTTGCTTCCATTTTAATTAAAATTCTAATGTGATCTATTTCTTTTTTCCATAATATTACATACAATCTATTCTCTCATCAACAGACATTTCTCTAGTCTATCTATCTCTTCTCTTACTCTCACCATTCTCTATCTCTCTGCGTCTTTTCATATACATGGATGTATCCCTGTTCGCTTCATTTCAAATAAGTTTTCATAAGCAAAGCAAACATTTTCCAATAATATTCTTATTTTTGCTAATGTTCATTTTGGGTTTGTTTCAAATCACTTGAACTGTTTCCTAAAAAACAACTAATGCATTTGGCTATGTAGCACGTGCTTGGGTTTTTCGATTATCCTGCTTGATAATCGTATAACTTCTCTCGCACTCTCTTTATTTTTGATTGACCGTTCAGCATTAATTCAAAATCCGCCTTTCTCCTGTTGTTGTTTGAGGTTGCTAAGCAATTCTTAATCTACTAATATACGCAATTTTCGAATAACTATTAAACTTTCGTTTAGGGTTATGCCGCGGGTTCGGCTACGCACCTCTGAATCATTATCAAGATCCAATAATGTGTTTGCGAGATTTTTAAATTGGATGACAGGAGGAGAACATTGGACTCATCATCATGCTTCTGTATTCGTTTTAACTTTTTTCAGGTTTGTTGAGCTTATCTGGTATCGAATCATGATTTTTTTCAGCTTTGCTTTTATCCATGCTACTCGCAAAACTTTATCGACTGTTAAGCCTTCTATGATAGCCATATGGACACAAAATACAACAGCTTCTGGCCCCCTGTTTCCTTCTGCGCAAGCGGCTTCTGAATTCTTGGCATATCTGGATGGAGGATTTCTATTCGCATATTCAATCGTACGTTAACTGCTCCTCTGCATGTTTCCCATTAACTTTCAGGGATTGTTTGTGGGTGGAATGCTAGGAGATCGATATGATCCTCGTTCAGTTTTGTCTATTGGGATGTGGCTATCAGCTATTGCCGTAAGAAAGAGATGTTGTTTAATAAATTACATGTTCTGTATCAGACGTTTTTGTTCGGATATGTAACAGAAATTTTCGGTGTTTATTCTAAAATAATATATTCAGTACTTTGGATAGCGTCAGGAATTTTCCAATCAGTTGCTTGGCCAACAGAGGTATGAAGAGAATAAAGTAACATGTTTCAACAAGCTTATTAGGTCTGTATCATGGGTAATTGGTTCGGACATCATTCCAGAGGAACTGTGATGGGTATATGGTCGGCTTGCGCAAGTGCAGGAAATATCATCGGAACTCTTATTTCGAGTCAAATGGTGCTTATAGGTTATGAGGTTAGTAAGTAGTTTGCTAAGCCAAAGCATGAACATGTGTGAAACATTCATGTTTTGTTGATTTTAGTACGCCTTTGCCGCAAACTCACTCATCTTGTTTGTCTTCGCATTTTTGGTTTATTGGAACCTAGCCTCAGCTCCTCGTGATGTTGGTAAGTTGTAGATGTTCCTTCGTTTGTGTACTCTACTCGCACATAGGATTACCTGATACAGCAGAGTTTCCCGATGAAATGAATCGAGTAATTGAAGTTCGCTCGGATGATCCTACGGCTCGTCCTTCACCGATTGGTTTTCAACGAGCTTGCTGCCTACCGGGAGTTCTTCCAGTAAGCGAAATTTCGGTCTACGATTAATGATTTAACTGTAGTATTCACTGGCATATGCCTGTTTGAAATTGGTCAATTATGGATTTTTCTTCTGGTTGCCATTCTATCTTCATAATCGGTTTGGATGGAAAGAGTCTGACGCGGATGCTTTGTCTACCTGGTATGATGTTGGTGGAATTTTCGCAGCAGTCTTAGCTGGAGCAGTTTCTGTATGTCTTGTAGTCCTTAATGCACGTTTACTTAAACATTTAGGATCACTTTTCTTCTAGAACACCTCTAGTTGTGTCCATGTTATCGCTCTCCACGTTCGCACTCTATGCAGTATCTAGTATGACTTCAACAACTCATAATTTCATGATTTGAAATGTTGCAGACTCGCCTCCTACCTTCTTCGCGAATGCTGTTCTTCTTGCGGTCGCAGGATTCTTCATTGGTGGCCCTGCCAACATGATCTCCTCTTCCGTATCTGCAGATTTGGGGAGAGCAAGGGAACTACGAGGAAACGCAGAGGCATTAGCAACAGTTACTGGTATAGTTGACGGTGCGTTCCTACCACAATATGACAGTTACGATGATAGAAAAAGCTGCTAGACCGCTTTAAAAAACTTCATAACCAAATTTTATGATATAGGTACTGGAAGTTTGGGAGCTTCGCTCGGTCAACTTGTGATCCCTCCTATTCAACAGTGGTATGGATGGAACACAATATTTTACTGTTTTATCGTTATGGTACGTGTTCTTGATTACACTGGATTAAATTTTTATTAAGATTGTTGCTACCTGCCTTTTCTTGACGCCTCTCCTGATTAAAGAATGTTTGAAAAGGAGACAAATGCATTACTCGAATCTCAGTTCTGAAGAGGATGAAGAAGCAGAAGGATTACTACAGGTATAACTAAGTGATCTTCTTTGTTATTAATGTTCTCTAGGACGAGGAGCAGAATGTTCGTAGACGTGTTTTACCTGATATCGATAGCGATTGAAGACTCCAATGTACTTCTTTCTCATTCATATTCTATAATACTTATAACATTCCTAAAATGTATATTTATCATGACTGTGATTACTTCGATTCAATCTGGTATTTATTTGTAAAAATTGTATATTCGCAAATCGAAACTATATGATCTTATTTTAAGGAATAAGAACTAATTGAAACATCGTGCATTATAAGATATTAATAAAAGTTATTTTCCATTTGTACCACAACATTCAATGCTGATATATTTAAAGATTCTAAATTCAGTTATGTCTAGGAGAGTTGGGAATTTACAAAATTTAAAACTGTTTGGGTGAAAACATGTTTCAAGGAAACAGCTTGCTAAATTAGAATTCACGTGCCACGTTTCGCATTTCACGGGAATCCTATGTTCGCAAAAAGGTTAAAAGCATTCATTTTCACTTTTATGAATGTTCATAGCTGCTCGCATCATTAATATATCTTAACAACAACAATAGTCTTAGTTGCAGAGAACACTATGAAAACTTGCTCCAAAGACATTATACATTGTGCGACTATATTGCAAACAGAGCGTATTCGTCGCATCGCACTTTACAATTGCCTCTGTCTCACTGATTTGTAATTTGTATACGTTTTCTTATTTCAAACTATGATGTTTTAGGGTAATAAAATGGCTGACATATCACTACTCGGTCTTTCGGAGCAGAAAACCAAAGAAACCCTTAAAAATGCAGCTTTAGTGAAAGTTTTGAGTATTATTATTGAAAATGCCCAAAATGAGCTGAAAATCAAAGGTGTGGAAGTCTCAAAGAGTCAGGTAATAGTGTTATAACAAATCAATTCTTATGTTAATGTGCAGGCAAACCTTCTTTATCAACTTGGCACTAAAATTAAGCCTCAAATTCATCAACACGTTCCAGTTCTGACCAAATACATTGTTAATGACGGTATCAAGTCTGAACCACAGGTAATATATATCAGAATGTTTTGTTAATGAAACTGTTTAGATAAATGCGGCTGTTGAATATCTCCTAGCTAATATTGTCAATGAACTAGATATTAAGTCTCTAGAAACTGCTTGTGGTGTTGGGGTTGTTGTCACTCCTGATCAAATTGAAGACGCTGTTAGTTGTCTGTTCTATTTTTTTCTCAATTTTTATTCTGTTCAGGTTACAAATGTTTTTAAGAAGCATAATGATCAATTAATAAAAGATCGTTATTCTTTCAATGTCGGTAAACTGCTCGGAGAAATCCGTGTACTTCTACCATGGGCTGATGGTGCTTATGTTAAAAAAGAAGTTGACTTGAGGCTGATGGAACTTTTAGGAGCTAAAACCGAAGAGGATTTAATGCCTAAGAAAAAGGTAATGTGAAACAGGAGCGAGTATACAAGAATGTTTATATATTTTCTTCAGGAGAAGAAGAAAGAGGAAAAAGTTGAAAAACCCAAAAAAAAAGACGTTTCCACAAATGAAGCTTCTGGCAACGATGAAATCCAGGGTGCTGCAACCATTGAAGAGCTTATGAGAACCAGAGCCAATTTCCATAAAGTGAGTTTGATGCAGTATTCCGTAAACTTGTATTGTTTAAGGTCGGAGAAAACTTCACTACCGATGGATATGTGACCACACCATTAACTAAAGAGTTGATCAGAAAGCACTTAGAAGCAACTGGAGGAAAAGTATATTTTTATATGATTCCTAGACCAATATTTCAATTAGGTAATCACTCGTTTCCCCCCTGAACCGAATGGAGTTCTTCACATCGGACATGCAAAGGCTATCAATATTAACTTTGGATATGCCAAGGTGAAAATAGGATATCTATTTCTCGTAATAGTTACGCTCAGGCTCACAATGGCTCATGTAATCTAAGGTTTGATGATACCAATCCTGAGAAAGAAGAAGAAAAGTTTTTCACTGCCATAGAAGATGTTGTGAAGTGGCTAGGTAATAATTGAATACGAAGATATTGCTCAAATGATCTGTTCAGGATACACTCCAGCCCGTATCACTCACTCATCCGATAACTTTAATCAACTTTATCAGGTTCACATTTTTCTGCTTTTCAAGCAACACTTATTTTTCAGTGGGCTATCACTCTCATCAAGAAAGGTTTAGCATATGTTTGTCACCAAAAAGTTGAAGAAATGCGAGGATTTGATGTACAGCTCTCCCCATGGAGGGAAAGACCAGTAGAAGAGTCTCTCCAGTTGTTTGAGGTTTTTACAATGAATTATTATAAAAACGACCACCATACTAGGATATGAAAAATGGAAAGTTCGATGAAGGTGAAGCTACTCTTCGCTTGAAATTGACTTTGGAAGAAGGAAAGGTTGATCCAGTTGCTTACCGCATCAAATACGTTCCTCATCACAGAACGAAAGATCAATGGTTTGCTTGTTTTTTTTTCTGTTACTATTTAAGTTTAATTTTTAGGTGTATCTATCCTACATATGACTACACTCACTGCCTCTGTGATTCGATCGAGAATATAACACATTCTCTTTGTACTAAGGAGTTCCAATCACGGTTTGTAAACTTTAGTTCTCATCATCATCATCAATTCTTTTTTTAGAAGAAGTAGTTATTATTGGCTGTGCAATGCTGTTGATATTTATTGTCCTGTACAGTGGGAGTATGGAAGACTCAATGTTAACTACACTGTAGTATCTAAACGCAAAATTTTAAAGCTCATCACTACAAAGATAGTCAAGTATGGATATATTATTATTATCATCAACTAACACAATTCTAGTGATTGGGATGATCCAAGACTTTTCACTCTTACTGCCCTCCGAAGACGTGGTATTCCTGCCGAAGCAATCAACATATTCGTAGCTAAGTTGGGTCTCACCATGAGTCAAATGGCTATCGATCCTCTTCTTCTCGATGCTACAGTTCGTGATTATCTTAACAACACGGCTCCAAGGTAAAAACATGTACAAAAAAAGGTTTCTCATTAGCTCTTGTTCAGAACCATGGTCGTGCTTGATGGCTTGAAAGTTACTATTGAGAACTACTCGGAGTTGAATCTCCCCACCAAAGTTACTGTACCAGATTTCCCATCTAACCCAGGAACTTCTGCTTCTCATGAAATAGCTTTCGACTCAGTCATTTTTATTGAGAAATCCGACTATAGAAAGGTAACTTTAGATTTTGGTTTGTCCTGGTTAATTTTCAACGAGTCCAAGTTGTACTTTGCATAGGATCTATCTATTGAAGCAAATGAGGCAATCTCATGTTCGATGTTGTTAATATTAGATTCCACCAACCCCGTTTTTATGTGTTCGTGAGTGTAGAAAGAGTTAGATTGCGCGCCATTTTGCTTTGCCGTATGCCGCGTCATGTTCCAGGCAGTGCCAGCCTAGTTTCGTTCATTCTTCGCAGAGTGTGTATACTGCTTAGAGTAGGAGAGTTAGAAGAAAACTAGAAAGTCGCTGTTCTGTCGCTTCCGCGCTTAGCGGGAAAAGTAAACAGTAAGCAGCCTCCTTTACTGTTGCGTAAAGTGCAGGGATTTGATCTGAACTATCTCGGAAGCCGTTTTTTATCTGTAAATCGACAAATTTTTGTTTTACAAGTTCTGTGTTCTCTCCGGTGACCGTTTTATGAGCGGTCCTCCTGCGATTGAAAATATAACTTGAGAAAGATATTCTTTGTTAAGTTTCGGCAGAAACTCTCACTTTCACAGTCTTCACGTTCGGAATGTGGGTGATATGAATGTATTACTATTTGTTGTTACTTAAGTAGGAAACAAGGTTTAAACAACAAGTTGTAATCGAACTTTATTTAGTAAACTAAGGTTTTTTTCGAATTAATCTGAAGAACATTGAACTACACAAGCAAATATATGAATCTGTCAAAACAACAAAAGTGAAATTGTTTTTTTCAGGACAATACCGAAAAGGGATTCCGTCGTCTCACCAAAAATCAACCAGTAGGGTTGAAACATATTGGAATAACCCTTACTGTCACCAGGGAAGAAGTGGTATGATTTCAGTAATGAATGATTAGAGTTTGAATTCTATAGGATGCTAGCGGAAATGTTGTTGAGGTGTTCGTCCGGGCAGCTACGCTAACAGAACAGAATAAGCCGAAAGCCTTCATTCATTGGGTCGCTAAGCCGAGAACAGCTGAAGTCAGACTATATGAGCAATTGTGAGTTTTTCCGGGACCGCCGAGATCCCTTACCTTGTTTTACTATTTTTGAAGTTTTTGTCGTGTTTCGATTGTCAACGAAACTAAGTTGGGATTATCGACAGCTCATCATGCAAATGCGATTATTCGAGCACCTTTACTTCCAAAACAACCAAAATTTATTGTGATTAAAAAATGGGAACAGCGTTCAGCAATGTCATATTATCGTTGAACGCTGTTCTAATTTTTGTATGATGACTGAGTTCCAAAGGCTCTGTCATTCCTATTTACTATATATCTTTGCAATTTTGATATAAGGAAACAACTTTTCGATTCCCGAACATATTCCATTTTTCATCTATCTCAATACTCATACCGATCCTTATAGGTTCATACATAAAAATCCTGAAGATGCTACTGTAGTTCCAGGAGGGTTCTTATCTGATATCAACGAGGTTGTCTTTGATTTTTTTAAGTCTTTAAAACTTAGTTTAGAACTCTTTAACCATCAACTACAATGCACTGATTGATAATTCTATCGCAAACTCCAAGGTCTATGATAGATTCCAGTTCGAAAGAATCGGATATTTCAGCGTTGATCCTGATGCAACTTCTGGAAAGGTTGGTTCGAATATTTTGTTTGAGTGAATGCGGGAAACCTAGTGAACTCTAAAGGCGAGAAGTTCAGTGATATAAAAGACCATGACCTGACAAGATATCTTGCAATAATCCAACAGTGCCATGAGATATAATAGAACAGTTCAAGTATAACGATTATGAACATAACAGATGACAAATACCGCAGCTCTAATTATGCGGAATGGAGAAATGTTTGTTAGACAGGTTCATTAGTTGTTGGACATCATTTTGAGATTACACTTGCGCGTGGAACTACATCTTTACTAAACAAAACAACAATGAAAACTGTTTTCTTAATTGCTTTGCGTGGAACACTTGGCTTGTCGCTATAGACTTTTCCTTCTGTTTGTCTTTTCTCATTCGTTGTTTTCCAGCTTGTGTTCAACCGTACCGTCAACTTGAAAGAAGATTCCGGGAAGAACTGAACTTGACCAGCAGCTCCTGCGACTAGTTGATAGTAATCGGAAGATTATTGTTTTTTGTTAAGAGTGTATCAGTTTTTTGGGGGTTTTTGTTATCATGTTTTCTCAGCAGAATAATATTTTTAATTGTTTTCTAGCCCAGTGAGGTCTCTGGAGTTTACCACAGTAGAGCGGAACAAAATCGGTTTTTAATCGAAAGCGTGAAGAAGCGATATATATTTCCTCACTAAAATTTTTTCAAGAATGCCATGAAAAAATTGATTTTCTGATAGATTCACAAATTCAGAAAGCGGGTGGTTGATGACCAGGGCCCATCTGTCCTTTGCCACGTGCCGACTAATAATTTGCAAACTTATTGTCGCGCGTTTGCTAACAAGAACAAAACTCAGATATAGTAGAGAGTGTATGGTCATCCGCCGTCTCATGTAGAGAGCTTTTTGGTTGCAAATATCGAAGAACCCTGTTTGAAAATTTCTCAAAGAGTTACCTCTGTTATTTTGGTAGGACGGTCTATCTCTTTCTAGTTTTGGTATGCTTAGTGGCTAATCTCAACTGCTTCTTTTATTTACTTGACATAGCTAAAGTAGCAGGATATAAGTATAGAAGGGAAAGAGCCAGAGGAACAGAAATACCAGAGCACCTTTATATTGCCCTTCGTTTTGCTGAGTACACAGCTCTATAGGCCATTACTTGTTTAGTTTAGGATTACAGTACGTGATTGCCGCCACTTAGCTTCATTACAGTCATTAGCTGCGCCTCTTTAGTTGCATAGAAAGAGGAATAATTTATACAACAAAGGCTAACTTCCCTGTTGGTCTCTCATAGGAGACAAAGAAACCTCCCTGATGGGTGTAGTTTTCGTGCGTGTGTTTGAAGGCTTGAAGACCTTAAGCTATTATTCTCTTTGATGGGTTTCTATATTTCACCTCGTAGGTTCACGATGAAACAGATGTGAGAATTTATTACAGCTGGTAATTTAGTTTTCGATACCCTTTCATATGGTTCCATTCATATGATTTAAGTGTTTTTTTCCTATATGAGGCAAATGGGGCATTTCTACGATGTCTTTTTAACTTGAGGAAAGAGCTAAAACATCTATCCCTCCCACAATACGGTTCTTCGTCAACAATAAAGAACCAATTCTTTAATGGAACAATAGAGATACTAAGACTGATATGGGTGACATGATCGTGGAGGTCTTGATCATAAATTAGTGCGAAAAGATGTGTCAGCGCCGCGCCCTGTCCGTTAAAGGCTCTTATGTCTCTCAGTTTTGATGAAAATTCATGAAGTATCATATATGCTTATTTTCGGTTATTTTGTCATCATCCTCTTAGCCTTTTGTAAGAGGCCGCAGAACAGAACACTCTCGACAATGACTCATTTTAACGTCGTATTTGGAAATGATGTCATTCGATTACCCCCACCCGCATATTTAACACAGGACGATCATCTGCTTTTCATTTTCTTCATCACATCAATTTTACAGTTGTGACTCAAACGTTGTTTGGAAAACCGATGCAGATGATTCAGAGGACTCAGCATATGCTAGAGTGATGAAACAGTTTTTTTTGCAAAGCCGCCTTCGCAACAGGATATCCTCAGCTTAAACTATATACCGGTCACGCGCATATATACAAATCATCTGGCTGTGAAGAAGAAGATTTTACTTCAAGAGAAGTGCTCGATCAAACTATAAACTTTATATGAGAGCTCATTCGACGAATGATCTCTTTCTCTGAGAAAAGGTCACTTTCATGAAAGGATTCCCTCATGTTTGCTTCTCGTTCTCCACGCGACCAAATTGTTTCCGAGAGACGATCATGACGCATCAACTCTGTCATCAAAGGAAAACAGACTTCGAAACAACACTTTTGCACAAGTTTCCCTCTGATTTCTTCATGAACCGGTTTGGCGGCGGACAGCTTTCATCTGCTCATGGCTTTTGTTCAAAGTCTAAAATAATATAGGCTTCTTTTCTTCGCTAGTATTCAAGTTGAAACGAATGTTTTTTTCTTTAATTTGCCGTCCCTCAAACAACTGCACGTTTTGAAACTCCGAATAATAGGAATTACGGGAATGTGAACATACATAAGGTGAGTCACCCACAATCATCTCTGTCAAATTCCATCGAGGAAAATAAGCTGTTAAAATATTGCTAATTTACGAGAAGTTTTTGATTCTGATCTTTATGAATCAAACATGTTGTGGATGTGCACTGTCGTCAAACTATTGTTGATTTTCGCCCCCGCCAACACCATATGTTGAAAATGGTACGTATGTCCATCTAGTACGTCAGTCATTGTGGTGTCTAATATCTGCCTCAAAATCAGACTTGATATGTGGATTTGGAGAACCATAGACTTTGAAGATACTAAGAATTCTTGACATATTCTCCAACAAGATTTCTATTTAACTTACGATCTACTCAATTCCTTCGACGAAAGGTTTTTTCACGTGACGAAAGTTCACGTTACCAAAGGTCATTTGACCTTGTAGGACTTCACACGTGAACAACAATCGAACTTCCAATTGTTGCTAATTATCTGGGAGTTTTCAATTTTAGATACTCACCCTAGGAAGCTTATATGTGTTGCTTTGGAAATGCATGTTTCAAAAATATGTTGCCATACGTCTGTTAAGATGGGTTACGAAGGTCACATCTATTATAACTGTTTTATTAAAAGAAATTATTAGAATATAAGTGAGAAGAATTAGATATGTTCGAAGATCATTAAATATGTTGATGTTTTAAATAGTTAGCTCATCAAAGTTGATGCTTTGATGCTCCAACTATTTGGTCTACTGCTTTCAAACATAATGTCTGACTCTCGTTCTCTTTTTATATCTTCTCTTTTGCTTTTCCTACTTGGGGTTTCTTGAGAAAGCTCCAAATATGTTGCGAATATGTTCATTAGGCCTTCGCTAAAACTCTATAAAGAAGAGGAAAAAGCAAAGAATAGATAGAAGAACGACCAAGCGACATAGGAATGCTTGAGTTTCTTAGAACTCTGAATCATTTATTTCCATGTCCTAACCCTCTCTATAGACAGACATGAAGTATTGCTTTCATGATCTATAACTAAACTACAAACATCACGAGAACTGTTTCTATTATGATTATAATATTTCGAGAATGGAAAAAGTTCGTTTAAGATCATCGTTTTCATCTTATGCTGAAATTGATGAGCCTATTAACCATTTGTGCTTTTCTAAATAGCTTCTCAAATATCAAATAAAATCTATTTTCTCATTCGTCTAAATGTGCCGAAGCGATTTCAAAAGCAGTATTTCAATAGCTTTTGAAGTACTAATACTGCTCTTCCCGTGCTCCCCAAATAAGAACAGTTGAGCGCCTAACTGTCCTAGCCTTGAGCTTCCCCATTGCAGCATGAATCTTGAAAACATTGGCTTAACCCTGCCCTTACATTCGTTTTAGTATAAAAACACCACGTGATATGACCTATAGAGTAAAGAAGCGATGGAAAGCCTGTTATATTAGGTTTTCCCGACAAAAGAAGAGCTAAGCCTTCAAACTAGTCCTACCGACAACCTCACATATTGCATAAGCTGCAGACGTTCTGATGAATTGATTGAGCAAAAAAGAATTTACAGATCCAAAAATGTTGAAACCCTTTTGCATCGTTTCAACACCTTCTACAAAACCAAGGATGTCAGGCGATACAATAGATGGTTGATACCTCATGAATACAGATTTAACGAGGACCGGACCAAACCCATTAAGATTGTCGAGGAACATCTTTTTGGACTTTGTAAGACCCCCCACCTTGAAAAGGACAATCTATTCAACAAAGAGAATACAAGACATAAAATTGATATTTATTAAATAGATCAGGTTATACAACATATTCACACACGCACACACACACATATACACATCAAACCTATGGCTTTGGGTACTTGCGCAAACAGATCTTCCCACCCCTCTATCTATGTTGTAAAATGAAAAAAGATATAAGATTTTTTATATAATATCTGGAGACATATAGGTATATTATATATTATAAATTAATAAACTACATTTATGAGTACTGAGCAATTGAGGACTGACTTTCATGATTTCTCCTTATTATTTCTTAAATAAGTAATAAATAATTAGAGCCAGTATCGGAACAGGATAGGATAAAAGATAGATATAGATATAAATATGTAAAAATATGTGGAATATACATTATAATACAAAACAAAATCTATAGAATATACAATATGAAACTAAGAAAATATACAATTGGTTTAATACAATCTTGCAGATTTGCAACAGGAAGAAACATATATGTACAAAAGCCCGAAAGGAAAAACGGAGGTAATTACACAGAATTGAAACATTTCTAATACTCTCCGTGATGAGCAAGGCGAATTAACCGGGATAAAACACAACCACGGTGATACCTCCGAAAGCTCTTTGAAATTTTGGAATAGAAAAGTGCCGAGATGGAGATAAAAGTTGAGATGTTCGAGAGAAAGAAAATTGAAGCGACGGGTGAACGAACAGTAACTCTTCAATACGAGCCCAGAACCATATTCCCTGAGGACATGGGTGGGCTAGCTGAAGAGGTGCTATATCCAGAAGAATTACCACTGGAATGAGCGGAAAGTAAATTGCAAGATCCCAAAGAACCAGCACGACGATGATTCGGACGTAATGTTAGATTGGGGATACTGTTAGTTAAAGGAGCAACTTGATTCTCCATTTCATTAGAAGAGTTGGATGTCATGGGAGAGCCGGGCGTTGGAGCAGTTACTTCAGGCACTTTCACTGCTTGAGATGTGGATGGTGTAGAATCATCAACTTTGGGTGCAGGAGGTTTGGACTCCAGCCGATTTGTCACTCCTCTGATAGGAACTCTACGCGATGGTGAACCGATGGGAATTGAAGATGAAATCGGAGAAGTAGAACAGCAAGGTTCGAACTATAAAAGATCATGTCAAATATTGTCTCATAGAAGTAACACTCACCATTTCTGGATGATTCACTCGTTCAGTAGGAACGGAGTCGTAGAATCCTGATGAAGAAGATGACGGCATTACACGACTGGATGAGGGTGAGTCGGCATTGTTCATCCTATGCTGATAAACTGGAGGGTGATTTCCGTGACGGGTAGGGCAATCAGTGCGGTTTGGTTGTTGTGGTCTGTCAGCAACGATCTCGCATAAGCGAGCGGGAACAGAGGCTTTCTTTTGGCGTTCGGCGTTCAATTCTTGTTTAGCGAAATTCTCCGTTCCTTGTTTAAGGTTCATCCAAGGGTGCTGCAGAATTTCAGTGAGGGAAGGACGTTCTTCGGGCTTGAACTTTAGGCACCAACGGATCAATTCTTTACAGCCTAAATGGAAGAATACAAAACTAAACTGAAACTTGCGAAAAACTCACTTTCTGATACTTCGCCTCTCCATAATAGATTTCCGGCAATAATTTCGCTATCTCTTCTGAATGGAATGTCGCCACAGACCATATCATATAAGAGAATTCCAAGAGACCAGACTGTGGCCTGCATCCCATCATAACTTCCATGCTGAATCCACTCTGGTGGACTGTACACACGTGTTCCTAAAAAAAAAATTTAGAAAACTGAATAATCAATTAGTTTCTTCAGATTTATCCCTTGTCAACTGTTTTCCTCTTCAAAATCAGCTGCGCCCCTACAGGTCACGCGTAGCGAGGCGCGAAAACGCGCACTCGCCACAAAAGAGCCTGGTACGGACAGTATAGAAGTAAACGAGCGAGGACAGCTGGAAAAAAAATTCCGCCCAGACCAACTTGTTTGCACTTTTTCAAAAGAAAAAAGAATGCGAGTTACATAGAGGGAAGAAAGACATGATAGAATGCAAAAGTATGAGAGCGGGATGAGAGGAATTTCGATATATATGACAATCGTATTCAGCGAGATTTTTCAGCGAATTTGAGGATTAACGTTCTAGCACTTTCTTGACCCCGTATGTCTTAACTTTTTTCCATCAAATGATTCTTCTCGTATTCAAGAGAATCAGATGATTTACGCCATATGCAAAAGTTCAATCAGACCTTGCTCGAAGAAATTTGATAGTATAAAGACATACTACTATTAATATATATATATACATCATATCAGTTGACACTAATACTGTAATATTCTTCGGAAAACACCTTGAAAGTGCGAGTAAAGTAACGACCAATCTGATTGAATACAACAAATTTCTCATTTTATCTTCTCCCCTTTGTTGAAGTTCCATAGCTTGAAGCAATGCTAATTGCTAAACTGATCAATGCGCTTTGTGTGTTCACACGGACACTCACTCTCTAAAGCACACATTCTTTGTTTTAATTGTCGATCTTCACCTTTACTGTAGACCACCATGACCAATGAACTAGGTCTAGCTTATCCCATTATCAGGAAGATGCTATCCCGGTAGCAATGAAGTAAAGATGACAGAAATTCGCTAGGAGGAATGTAGAACAACATGAAGAGATGAAATGTTTCGCCAACATCCTGTATGTTTATTTGATAAACTCTCAGGTGATTAAATCATTTTACTTTGATCGTACAATTTAGAGAATTTAATACAAAGTAATTAAACAGAAATTTTCGTTGTAAAAGGGCGATCGATTAAGTAGTTCTTTTCCAATTTTTTTTCTTCTTCCTCGTCCTCGTATGCGAAGAACTTCCAGCAGTAACAGACAAGCTAGTAGTGAAGTGTAGAGAAGAGAATCAGAGGTAAGGCAGAGACCGGTCCTGTGCTTTCCACAGTCAACCGCTCAACCAACGATCGCCTAGACAACTAAAGCAGAGGAAAACGAAACATTTCGTAATCGGACCTAATATTGTCATCATTCTTAGAATAACTTCGCAACGCCAATGCAAACTCAAGCATAATTCATTGCAATGCTAGGTCGATTTGTTTGACGGGCTATTACATAATTGTGGCTCAATCTACTTCAATCCCATCTGGCAAATCAGCTTGTTCATCCCCTATTCATTTCATTACGAACTTCTCCATTCCATGAAGACTAAGTGGCTGAATAGATTCTCCCTTAGTTTCAATCTTTCGTGAACGAAGCAAAGTGTATACTTGGCTATCAGTAAATACGAACAGTGGCATTTCGATGTGCTAGGTACTGTTCAGAGTCGTACCAGATGACCCGACGACGATTTCTGTGTCCTCACTTTAATAAGTCTTGTCGATAGTGGTAAACAACTCTAAGGTCAACGGTCAGCCATCACGGCCAACCAAGGGGTGGCAATAGCTCAAAGCAGTATGGACCCCCATTGCACAAAACAACTAAACTGCCCAATAGCTAATGCCACGTCCAGCAGATAACAATCCACTTTTCATCTCGACGATAAACAAAGTTCCGAAGAATTCATCTAGGGAAAGGGATAAACAAAACACCGAAAATACTATAAAAAATTAATTCATAAGATTCAAAAAATCATTGCTTCCAAGCGATATTTGCTGGGTTGCATTTCGAAATAGTTTTTCACAAGACTTCAATTTTGATCTCACATCTTGCTTAGCATGGAGAGCGCTCCAGAATGATCTACACAAGACAGGAATCTAAAGTCCTAGTATTTTGTTTACAGGATTGAACACCACTACAGCGGTCGTATGTCTATCCTTCGGTCAGCTAGCTAGGACTCGGGTCAAAGCAGCTTGTGTCACGTGCGCCCTCTCCTCCCGCATACGAGGTCAGCTTAGGCGGGAAAGTGGCCTCTATTTGGCTCGTCGCCAAGTGAAGCCAGCTCTCATCTTTCTCCCTATCGCTTATACCGCCTCGAGACATCAATGAAGTTGCCAACTTTCGAAAATCTCAGTTTGAAATAACAACATGATAGTAAAGATTCGAGAACGATGAGCAATATATTTTCTTTCCTATAAAGAACCGAAATGTGAAAAGCTTGTGAATGACTGTTAATCAACTTTGTATTTGCTTAGAGAACCTGCATACCAGCTGACTAGATGACCCTTATAACTTCCGCTGTTCATCGAATTTCTCGCAACACATTACGAAAGAGTGAGACATACAGATCAGGTAACTCCTAGAGAGTCATGACAAGGGGAAAGTTGGGGTGTGCTGTCACCGTCACCTGGACGAGACCTTGGCGCCGTCCTCAGCCTTAAAGACCAACATCTAATTGATTAGTTCAAAGGAACATTCCTAAGGCGGATTCGACCTCGACATATCTTTAGAGTTCATAGCATGGAAGTTTTTAATGTGAGGAAGACATAGCTTGAGCATGCTTGAAAATTCAAACGTTCATATACCCGGAATCAACGTGGTCATATGTAACGTCACGGCGCCAAAAGGGTGGTTAATATTAACACATGATCGGTATGACTTATCAGAGATAAGAGTCAAAGAAAAATCGGAGGTCGGAAAGTGAAAACGGATTATTCAATTTTTCCGATATAGAGTGAGATGAATAATTTGCAACGAATGGAAACATAGTAGTCAAAAACAACCAACCTTCGAAATCTGTATAAGGTCCATTCTTTTTGAAAGCTCCTGAACCGAAGTCGACAAGCATTACTTTTCCTTCCTTCATGTCGACCACCAGATTTTCGTCTTTGATATCTCTGTGGATCACACCAACCTTCTCACACTCAATGACAGTATTAACTATCTGAAATAAAATTGAATTGCTTTTTTTCCTTGCATCTATGCATACCTGCATGAAAAAGTCTCTGGACATATCCTCAGAGATTTTTCCACGATCGGAAATGAAGTCGAAAAGATCAACTGATGCGCAAGGTCGTTCCATAACGATCATATAACCGTCAGACTTCTCATACCATGCAACAGTATTTATAACTCCGGGGATTCCATTACATTGGTCCAGGAGTACAATCTCTAGAGGCAACATCCTGCCTTCATGCTGAAAAAAAATCGTTTTAAACAAAAAACTCTCTATTCCTCTTCAAGCAATATAAAACTGATTCTGAGCAGCAGCATTTTATAAGCATGCTCAGCTGATGCGAATGACGGCATCAGCACTCACGTGCAACGGCGCTTGGCAAAAAAACAACTACGAGCACATGATCGAAAGCAGCAAAAGGCCAAAACTTGGTGAAAAATAGTTAGAAGTACTTACACATCTCCATTCTGTTACATTACTTCTGCTAACAAACTTCACGGCACAAGATAATTTATCAGAAGTTCTGAATGCAGAGAACACGGTTCCAAAACCTCCCCTTCCCAGTTCGGATCCCATGTGAAATAAACGCTTGAATTGAGCATAATCACGAGCTGAAAAAGGGAAACGTTCAAAACAGCGATATCCAGAGTAAGAGCAATTATTGTTTAAAACATCTTGAAGTGTTAAAAAGTTATGGATGTTTCGAATTATAAAACAAGAAATTTGCCTAGGAAACTAGAACACAAGTAGGTCGCCTGGCATATTAAAAAAAAAAGAAATGAGTCAGAAGACCCAGATTAGAAAAATCCTGGGTGCTTCTAAGAAACGAACAATTGGAATAATAAAGCAATGAATGTAAGAAAAAAAACTCACTCGAATTGACTTGTTCTGTTGAATTTGGTATAACGGCCATCATCCGTTTCGTTGGTAACATACACCGAAACCGATCTAGTAGACGAGTAGCGCACAAGAATTTATTGCAATTCCTTTCGCAAACCAGACTTTGGTAACTGGAATATATCAAAAATAAAATGAAGGACATGAGTAATTTGACATAGAATATGATTAAGAATTACAAAATTATCAAGAACAAAAAAAAGATAATCAAAAGTTATAATTATTGTATGAACTGACAACGGAACAGAGTTTGAAAAGAATGGGCGGAAGGCGGGTGGGACACACACACGTCATGGGGTAACCACAACTTCAGTCACGCCCATATTTACCACGCCCATTCAGTATATCTTAAACGTAAAAAATATATATTAAAACGGTTTAAAACCATTGTAAAATGCTTATCAGATAATATCCGACAAGTTTTCTCGAAACAAGAGAAAAAATGAGAAACATCGACGACAAGACCCCCCAAAAAGAGTATAAAAGACGACGGGGGAAAGCACATAGTAGCACTAAGAGAGAGAGGCGTGTCCTGGCACAGCGCCAACCCATGTGAGAGAACTAGAGATCACGCGCCGGAGAGAGCGACAGAGAAATGAGGGGCAATCACACAAACAAGAGAGCGGAGGGTGCAGAAACGACCTTCGCCTTCGTAAAGATGGAGGGAAAGGGCGGCAAATACTGGAGCTGTCCAGAAAAATACTGTATTGCTGAAGAAATGAACAAGGAACAGCTGTTAGAAGGAGCTTGAGAAAATAACTAAACTTAATTCACTGAGAGCAGTGAGATAGACAGGGTAAGACCACCATCAAGTGGATATTATTCGGATTTCTGATACCATAGGCAAAACTATTATCTTTAATTACGTTGATGATGCCCTCTGGCTAAATGACCAGGCCATCCATCGTGGGAATCAGTGACAGAATGCACTTGAAGCGCAGAGGGTAACCGGATGAGGAGATAAATGACATCTTCTCAAAATTAACGTCGAGGACATTTCTTCAGCTGATTAAATGTGCTTTTCTCATCGATTGTAACTAGTTTGTGTGAAAATAAATAAAAATAAATTAATAAGATGTATGATCGATAAAATTCATAAATGATTGAGTGGCGATCTGATATATCGGCGTTTATAATGATAGGAACCTTGACCGCATAGATATACATCCGAAATAAGATGAAAGCTGATGAAGGCTAGTAACAATTGACCTGGGCTACCCCCGATGAGAATCTCCCAGGAAGAAATCAAAGTTGTAATGAACTACAAAATGAACATTGATCGACAAACAGTTGGCATATACCTTCGGATACTAAGAAGCCTCAAGTCATTGCAGTATCTTTTGAAAGATAAAAGAGGACTTATGCAATCAGAAGGAACCCGCTTTAAAGTGGGAGAAGGATAAAAAAATGATAATGGGTGAAAAGTGAGAAGAATGTGTGCTCTAACAGATAGTCATCGGCTTAACATATATCATTGGACGAACAGGAACAAGCTTATAGAACGGCAGCGAACAAAAGTGTTAAAGTGAGTGAGGAAAGATTTTGAAAATACGATGTGAAATATGAGAGAATGAGAGCCATAAAAAACTAGCGGAAGCCGCTGTTGCAAGCAGTGTTGCAATTCTGCAGCGGGGCTCGCACATCTGATTACAGGCCGTATGAGGTCATTGAATGTACGGAAAAAGGGGTGGAGATTGCAATGGAAGGCGGGGCAGCAAGAGGTAGCACAGATAGGAAACATGGCCAAGAGTGTATTTTATAGAAATACTATTTCACTAATAGTCCGTTATGATTCTACTGATAACATCAAAGACATGAAGCTGACTGTAGCAGCTGACATTAACTAACAATCATAGAAAGATTGAATTAAGTAAAAAGTGCGTAAGTATGTCGTTGTCTTGAAGTATTTGATGTACTTAGGGCTTGGAAAATGAAAAGGACATGTCTTTTTTTAGACTAAATAAACAAAATACAACTCCCACACATGGAGTCAAATCATATTTCAAACAGAAAAAAACGAAAGGAAAAGAGCTTTCACTTAACAAATAGATTATACCATAAATGGGTCGTCGTGTGTTGCATATTTCACTGACCAATTTAGGTAAAAAAATATACATTTTGAGCCATAGAAAAGACCGAAGCGAAAGATCATTCCGAACAGCTGAGCCGGTTTTTTAGCCGTAAAAGTACTAAATATAGAATTTGGGGTTCTATGCTTCTGTGCAAGCTTACAGTAGATTATTAAAGTCACTGATAATGAAGAGTTTCACTTGTGGCCTTTTGGAGCCCGGAAAAGTCGTAAATATGACTAGACAAGGCGCCTATGAGATAAGCGGTACATCCTACATCATATAAAATTTGCTTAGTTCATAGAGAGAGATAAGTCATAAACCTCACAAACAATCAAAAAAGCTTTGTTGGTCATTTCGTGAGCAAGTTTTACGGAAAAGTAGCTGATTGAATAGTCGCCACATGTCGAGGACTGAAGTTTCAACGACGAAACAGATGTAGCAAGTAGTAAAACCCTCATAACTCTTCCAAACTATGATCCGTGCATTGAGGGTACATATGTGTGAGAGAATGAAATAAAAATTGCTTAATAATCAACTGTATTCTGAGTACTCAGTCTATGATGACGATTGATATTCATAACGTCATCACAGTTCATGGAATTTGAAAGTGAACTAAAATAGATTAGTTCGCGAATAGACAGAAACAAAAAAAAACTAAAAAAAGTGAGAGAGAGATATTTGAGCTTTTGAACTGAACATTTCACTCAAAATACTTGTATATCAAACAAAAGAGTAGAAAAAATAAATTGATAAACGTCTCGGAGCGAATAGAAGAAGTTGGTTGGAGACATAAAACAAAAGTGAATAAAAAAGACAAAATAAGTGGAAAGAAATCTAGTTATAGAAAAGGCAACAAATCGACCACCAATACTACCAATGTTAAAAAGCAAAGGAATGGAAGAAGAGACGAAGAGTGAAAAGGAGATGAAGAGAGAAAAAAGAATGCAAAAATGACAGGAAAAATAGAGTTTGAAGTGCAAAGAGCTACTCGAGAGGTCATCGGAATTCATCGTGAAACTAGCGCAAATGACGTAAAAGCTATGTTTGTTAACAGTCATGTATTAGCTGGATAATCTGAGAGGTTAAAGAAAGAAAAAGCAGAAGCGTGTTCTCACAAAAAGAACAAGCGCGAGCATCATCAAAATGTTGCAAGAGTTGATCTTCTTATGCTGCTTCACAAACTACGAAAAACGACAGATAGCGAGAAATTTAGAGAAATCGGAAACCAATCGAGAGAGATCAAATGAAAAGCAGAGAATAATAGAAAAGAGAGTGAGGTGTAGAACATACGTAGTGAGTGAGGGAAATATGAAAAAAAGATTCACAATGAGCGCAACAGGTGAAAATTTTGAAGAAGCTGCTGAGCTGAGCATAGCAAAAGGTATTAAGAGAAAAGAACTCAAAACTATAATGCCGGGCGGGCAAAAAAGATTTCAAAATGTGTAAGGGAGGCGTTGTAGAAAAGAAAAATGAAAGAATTAAGCTTATTTAAGAAGAAAAAGAGTAATAGTACCTCCAATGTTGAACCGGAAAGAAACTGAACAGCCGTTTCAGAAACAAAAAAAAGTAAAAATGCCAAGTGCTTTCACGTGAAAATTAAAATACTTGGACTAAGTGCGTGGAATCACGTGCAACGTGTCCTTTGCTGGCAAAAGTCATAAACAAGGGATAAAAATAAGTTTGAAATCGAAGAAAAGATATGAAAGATAGATGCGAGGGATTGTTCTCAATCATTTTTTTGGTAGAAAAAAAAGAAAATTTTGATGAATACTGTAATGATGACAAATAAACAAAATGAAAAAAAAGAAAAAAAGAAATAGATTTTTGTGAATACTAATTAAAGTCATAAAGCCTTAGGAAAAATAAAGAGAGCCTTTCTTCTCTCTTTTTCTCCCCTCTGGTTTATATAGACGGCTTCAGCTACCCTTTTATTCTGAATTGTATTTGAAGAAAACATTGCATAGTATTGCGCAATCCTGTGAAAAAGGTCAGAAAGTACTGAAAAGCGGATATGTTTTGATTTATTTAATTATTTGTATAGATTGAAAGATTTTAATCATATCTAGGGCTTCATTTCTTTAACTTCATTCACATACTCACAAGAGAAACCATAATTTCAAAAGGAAGCTCTTAGTTTCTGTCAAATTTTAACTAAAAATCTAAATGGGAGATTTCGAAAATGGAGTTTAACGCTTAAGTTCATGTAAATATTTCTGTTTACAAAAATATATGATAATTATGCGAACGAATAGCCCTGTTCTTAGTATTCATCGGCTTTGAAAGCAGAAAAAATCAGTTATTATGATTGTTGTTGGGCTGCTGCTGGTAAAGAAGAAGCGTCAGATATTACAAGCTTCTCATTCTACTTGTGACCATGCTTGTTGTGGTCACTGCACGACAACAGCTCGATACGAGTTGTGAAAGCCTTCTTTTTTCCAGTTGACTGTCTTCATCTCTGTCACTTTTTTGCTCTTTTTACTTTGTTCATCTGGAATACAAACTATATATATATATATATATATATATATATATATATATATATATATAT